ACATACATACATACATATATATATATATATATATATATATATATATATATATATATATATATATATATATATATGTTATGGTCCAAGTTCCTTGTACCACGGTGATGGTCCAAGGTTAGAACCAATGAAAGAATAACACGAACACAGATATGGAATACAAAAATATATTACAACATAAATATAATACAAAGAAGTAGAAGTATCAGTAATGACTATGAGATTTGGTTAGAGTGAACTATGTTGTCTCGACAAGTATCACTATTCCAATGTCCTTACAATATGCTCTCAATTATCTCTCCTCGTCTTACAATCTCCTCATACCTCTTGAGAGGCGCAGTATTTATAATGTCAGGAATAGTCCATTATTATTATGGGTAAGTTACCATAACATATATATATATATATATGAAACGCTTTGTCTTAGGATGATCATAGCCTAAATTAAGGGACTACATGAATGTAAGGGAGTTACTAGGCCGACATCTTGGTCCCACACTTTCACTGTCAAAACGGTTAAATGTAACCATCCCTTCTTCTCAAACAGCTTCTTCTCCTGCACTTCTCGTCTGTGGAACTCGCTTCCCCTTACTTGCTTTCCCGATGACAATAATCTTTAAGTATTCAAATGTAATGTCAATTGACATCTTCTGATGCCTTGATCCTGATCTCCGTCCGTCTCCTTATCCTTTCTTCAAACCCCCCTTCTTTACTCTCACTCTTTGTAAACCCTTGCGTGCTAGTGCCACTCACGCTTTGCTTGGTTTGAAATGCTTAAAAAGAAAAATTCTTTCTTTTCAGTTTCTTGTTTAATCCGCAGCCATTTTAACGGTTATTTGGAAAACTGATCCGAACTTTGAAATTCCTATCTGAAAAATATTGCAACTTGATGGACACAAAGAAATTTAGCGATTATATTTTTTTTTTCTTTATTCAAGGTATTTTATGAATTAAGGGGTATTTTATTTTCTACAAGATTTCAGTCTGTTCGTTTTGCATTGGTTTTCCTCGGCTGAACTTTTATCAATATGCCTTTCTAGTGATTTGTTTTGTAGAATGTCATTAAATAACTGCTTTTTCCTCTTGATTTATGATCAGTTGCTATTTCTATGCTAGCATATTTAAAGACACACTTTTCTAGTTGCTATTACAATATTGTGAAGTTAAGCTCTGTACAAATGCTAATCGTCTAGGGCATCTGGAGAAACATTAGCCGACAAGTTATCGCAATGTCGCAAAGAAGCCACCGTAGAAAAAGCTAAGCTATTTTTGTGCAGAAAAGGGTTCTTGTTTTCTTATCTTAATTCTTATTTACCTATTTTCATAGATTTTATATACCGGGTGTAACAGCAAAATTGTCCAAATAGTGTAACAGCAAAATTGTCCAAATCGTGTAACAGCAAAATTGACCAAATCGTGTAACAGCAAAATTGTCCAAATCATGTAACAGCAAAATTGTCCAAATCATGTAACAGAAAGATTGTTCAAATCATGTAACAGCAAAATTGTCCAAATCGTGTAACAGCAAAATTGTCCAAATCGTGTAACAGCATAATTGTCTAAATCGTGTAACAGCAAAATTGTCCAAATCGTGTTACAGCATAATTGTCTAAATCGTGTAACAGCAAAATTGTCCAAATCGTGTAACAGCATACTTGTCTAAATCGTGTAACAGCAAAATTGTCCAAATCGTGTAACAGCAAAATTGTCCAAATCGTGTAACAGCATAATTTTCCATCCCATAAAATGTTTAAAATAAAAAAAACCCACTAAACTAATGACGTTTCTTTTTTCCAGGTTTACAGATAAGACGGTTAGCCATCTTGACACCATTTCAGAATCACTGAAAAACCCTTCGAGTTATTCAGCTAGAAAGATAACGGATTAAAATCGTTTTGTGTCAGCCCCACTGTCTTCCTAACTGAGATATGGCTAGATGGAAAAGACCATTCACACGTTCAGTAATGGCTCCAGCATTCATACCCTGGCTTCCATAATATTAAAAAAGAGGGATCAGTAGAAAGGAAAATTGGATCAGGAGGTCGCAAGAGGAAGAGGGATCATCATTTCAACTTAGAGCTAAAGAGATCAATTAGAAAAGATCCAACTCAATCCATAAAACTTTGGCATGTCAGAGAGGAGTTTCAGGTATGGCCATCCAAAGAGCAGTGAAATGACACTTGAAAATGAAATCGTACGTGAAACCTGCAAGGCAACTGGTTACTCCAGGACAGAAAGTGAGAAGGTTAGAGGGGCGAGGATCATCTTGAATATGTGGGAAAATGATCCTAGAATATATATATATATATATATATATATATATATATATATATACATATATATATATATATATATGAACTTTATTTCATCCCTTCATGAGATTCAGATCGTTAGTTATGATTAAGTAATGATGAACATGACATTTTCGTTTATGATCGATTTCATCTCGATTCTTCTGTTAAGCTTGGAGAGTAATTATACAACCTTATTGCTCAAAGCAGAATCCAATAGTTTTATAAAAGATCTTGGAGAATTCCAGTAAGATATCTTTAATCATTTTTTAAGATACAGCGGTTCAAATCTTAATCTAACAACTGAACAATTTTGCTGTTACATGATTTGGACAATTTTGCTGTTACACGATTTGGACAATTTTGCTGTTACATGATTTGGACAATTTTGCTGTTACATCTGGTATAATGAATTATGCATCAAATTTATTTTGTGAAATTCTAAAACTTTAAAAATATTTTTTGTTCTCTCTAATTTCTTCTTCAATTTGTCTATTCATTGTTCTGTGATCTTTCTCCAACGTCTTAATACGGATGCCATGCATGACAACAAACTCGTTTAGAAATAACCAAAATGTCAGGTGTATTCAACAGTTTTCTCAGACCAATGGCTAAATATTTATTGGAACGAAGCGCGGACCATTCTTCTTGAAAACCTTGCAGACAGGCGTTACCGAATCGGAGACAGAGAACTCTACCAAATAGAACGTTGACTATAAAGCTCAACGTAGCCAAGCGGTCAAAGCACGCCGGACCAGACGGTGGTTTTTCCTAGAAAATGGATGTAGATTCAAATCTTACTAGAAGGGGACATTCCGTTTAATGTACAATATTGTTCGATAAAAGTGACTCAACTGAGTTTTTTAATAAATGTTCTCTTCTCTAAATTCAAAGGATAAGCGATCTAAAACCCAAAGAAGAAGCTTTGAAAGCTCTTTGAATTTAGCACTAAGTACTGTCAAGCATCCGTTCAGTATAGTGTTCTGGTGATGCTTTTCTTTTCATGGAACTGGTTTCTTAAAACCTATTGAAAAGACCCTCAGGAGCGAGCAGTACAAGAGAATTTTAGAGTCTTGTCTGCTCCCTTCTGCTGAAAGGGTGCAAATCGACCCCACCAAGCTCATTTTTATGCAGGATAATGTTCCCTGTACCAAATCAAAATTGATGAAGGAATACTTTGATGAGAAGCAGGTGAGTGTTATGACATGGCCGCCCCAATCTCCTGACCTCAACCCCATAGAAGACTTACGGAGTATCATAAAGTACAGGCTCTCAAGAAAGCAGTTGAGCAACATGTTCCATAAGTTTTCTATGGGGTTGAGGTCAGGAGATTGGGGCGGCCATGTCATAACACTCAGCTGCTTTTAGAACATTTAGTCAAAAAATCAGGTGAGTCACTTTTAGCGAACAGCACTGTATTTTCTGCAGTGTGAAGGCCGGTAGGTGAAATAAATACTGTCTGAAATAAAACGGAACCTCTACTCAAATATGGGTTTCCGCTAAAATAATAACGTTTGAAGTAATGATAAAAACAGATAAAATGAAATTCCTATGGGATATTCACCATGCAGATATATCTTGGAAGCGTGATTGATATTTGTTGAAGTGAATTTTAATGTTGTGTAGGATAAAATGTGACATTGTGTAATTAAGATAATTATAATTAAGGTAATGCTTAGTGTAATTAGAAGGAGTCTATTGCTATTCTATCGATATTTCCATAGCAAATATTCAGGTGAGCTCCATTCTTTAGGTCTACCAGTTCAGACCTTTACAGCTAGGAGACGCCATTCTACTTTCGTGATGCAAATATATCAAGAATTTATTTGGCCTTTTATTCCAAAGAACTTCCACTTTCAGGAACAGACTCCTGCGTGGGTGCTTCCCAAAAAGCGGCAATCTAAGACTCAGATGGCTATGATCGCTTACTTTCAAAAAAGAATGTGAAAGAGAAGTAAGAAGAAGAAGGTATGAGGCGGTGGAGGAGGAGGAGAATAAGAGAGCAGGAGAAGGAGGAGGAGGAAGAAGTTGAGTCGGATGATAAGATAGAGGTGGAAGAAGAAGCAGAAAAAAAGGAGTAGGAGGAAAAGGAGGAGGAAAAGGAGGAGGAGGAGAACAAGAGAGCAGGAGAAGAAGGGGGAGGAAGAAGTAGAGTCGGATGATAAGATGGAGGTGGGAGAAGAAGAAGAAGAAGAAGAAGAAGAAGAAGAAGAAGAAGAAGAAGAAGAATTGGATATTAAACTATTATACATGGACAAGATGAAAATATTTACGGAATTTAGATTCGCTTTGTACGGAACCATTATTGGAAAGTGCCCTTTGAGAATGAAAACGAATAATGGTCTACAAGAATCACTTGATGAACCGTCCAAGAAAAGAAAAGAAAAGAATTCAGATTTCTTTTACATAATTTTGGGAATTACATTTATTGCTAGACAGAGAAGTGTTTCTGGCTTAGACAGTTTGGACAGAATAGAAGTCGAATTTTGTTTTTTGTTGTTTTTATTTGGTCTGTTTTGTTTTTCTCTTTATCATTGGTTCTTTTTGTTTCCTGCAAATATCATTTACAAATAAGTTTTAAAATGCCAGTTTCTCATTTTCGGATTGTCGATTCTGCCACATATTGTAAATTTAGATTCAACGTAAGTGAATCCCGAGCAAATTTCTTGGGGAAAACAGAAATGATTTTGCTTGCTCTCATTTATAATTGTGTCATAATCCAGTTACACACAGACACAAACAGACAAACAGACTGACAAACAGAGAGACAAATAGATAGATAGATAGATAGATAGATAGATAGATAGATAGATAGATAGATAGATAGATTGATTCGAAATCACTATAATAGATAGATAGATAGATAGATACGAAGAGGCTATTATATTTAGACTGATATGAACAAAATGAGATAGATACATAGATACGAATATACTGTAATAGATAGATAGATAGATAGATAGATAGATAGAGATACTGTAATAAATGGATAGATAGAGAAACAGATACGCAGATACTATATAATAAATAGATTGACTGATGTGAGAAAAATGATATAGAAACAGATATATCGATACGAAGATACTGTAATAGATAGATACAAAAGCAGACATACAGATAGATAGATAGATAGATAGATAGATAGATAGATAGATAGATAGATAGATAGTGTTATAAATGGATAGATAAATAGATACGAAGACTGATGTGAAAAAATGATATAGATATATAGATATGTAGATACGAAGATACTGTAATAGATAGATAGATAGATAGATAGATAGATAGATAGATAGATAGATAGATAGATACTGTAATAACTGGATAGATAGATAAATAGATACGAAGAGACTATAATACATAGATAGACTAATGCGAAAAAATGATATAGATGCATACACATATATATATATATATATATATATATATATATACATACGAAGATACTGTAATAGATATATTTAATTTTCAGAGAGAAAAGTTTCTACTACATTCCCCTTTTTTAAAACTTTAATCACAAATTCTACAAATCTCAACTTAGTTAAAATCGTAAGCATCATTCAAACACACACATAATTTGAGTTTAACGTTAATTAATCAAACTACAGGATTTCAATCAAAAATCTATACCATTGTAAAACCTTGTAATTTTAAATGTTAAACATGAACCAAACAGAAAGTCAAGAGACGCTTGGCAGTCGGCACTGTAACTAGTGACTGGTTGCATTTTCGTTTCTTTCTTTTAATGGGAAACCATTGATTCGGACAAGGGTTGTAAGGCGAATAGAAATATTAATATTTATCTGATCCTCAAGGAACCACCCTGAGTTAAGGCTCCCCGTTTTATGAAGATATATTGTATATATTGTAGATGTGTATCATATATGTCTTTTTTATGTATGCATTGAATGTATATTTGTAACTTGCACGCACACGCATATATATATATATATATATATATATATATATATATATATATATATATATATATATATATATATATATATATATATAGCATATTGAAAAGTCACGTATACTTTCTTAAAATTTTATGAAAGTATTTATTTATTTGTATATATATTTGATATTTCAGATTGGCCTCAATCTTTCTTCAGAAATAACTGTTTGTTTACAAGTAGCGTCCGTCGCGAGATGCGGACGTCACGTGATATGAAACGAATATTCCTAACGTAAATCTAACTGTAATAATATTTTAGATGTTGTTTAAAAAATCAAAATTTGAATAATATATATATATATATAACGTTAAACATTAGTTTTAGCGGATACTCGTATTTGAGTAGGGGCTCCGTTTATTTCTTAAACAGACTGTTTTTGTTTTCACCTAGCAATTAGAGAATTCATAATAAAAAAAAATTAAAAAATTAGGATCTTTCGACAGGAATTGAACCCACGTCAGAGAGAGTACCACCAGAAGCTAATTTCAGACTCCCAAGGGAAATTTCTCGCGTCATAGAACGTCTCTTAGTTTTTTTTTTTTTTTACATTTCGGCACATAGTTTCCTAATCAAACGTAGGCATGGAGAATTTTAGAATCAACATAGAATATATATATATATATATATATATATATATATATATATATATATATATATATATATATATATATATATATATATATATATATATATATATATATATATATATATATATATATATAAGGTATAATTGTATCACATTAAATATAATTCCTTACGAGAGGACCCCACGATTACAGAATGGTTCGTCTACAAACTCTCATGTATATATATATGTGTGTGTGTGTGTGTCTATAAGGCAGAATTGTATCCATTCAAACGTTATTTTAATGGATATTCGTATTTGACTAGTCGCTCTGTTTACTTATTATTTATTTATTTTTACACACACACATACGCACATACACACACACATATATGTATATATAAACGTATATATTGATATGTATGAACGTGGTCTAATCTAAATGTAACGGAACAGTTGCTATGGTAACGGGCCAAAATTACGTAGAATGACTTTGATTGACTTTGATCTCTGTCACCCATACACACTGCGTTATAGCGTTCAGGCTCGCTCCTGTTGTTTACAGCAGTGCTTGGAAGGAAAGCGTGGAGGGTGTGGTTGTCTTGTGCAGTAGTTTTGGGGCCTAGTACAACATTACCCATTCGAATATTTACGTTTTTCAGCTACTGTTATAAAGTCTGTCGATTAGCAGTTTTCAATGTAAAAAATTCCAATTCGAAAATGTATATAATAAACGCCTATAAAATACATATTCTGGCAATAATTATTCCTATATACTTGTCCAGATCCTGACGAGCGTAGCATCCCGAGATTTTTAGCTGTTCTTTGATAATTATCCTGAATTTTTCTAAAAAAAATAAAATTAAACATTTTAAAAAATACTCAGCAACATTCACCGGAGAATACCTCAGATTCAAGTGTGTCCATCTATACAGTGTAAAGAATGGGATCGTCCGTTGCTTACAACAGCCAATTCTATGATTGAGATACGTAGATGACACCTTCATACTCTGGCCACACCAGGGATAGGTTCAGCTACTACTGGACCTTATGATCTCAATAAAATCATTGACACATTTCACAATGGAAAGAGAAAACAACAAATTAGCATTCCTGTATGTACTGATATCTCGAACATATAATGGGTTCATGTTATACCGGAACATACCTATTCTATTATTAATAGACTCTTCCACATATAATAAGTAGTAGTAGTAGCAGTCGCCAGGGCTCAGAGTGAGTTGGTGAGTCAGTCGATGTCGGACCTTAAAGTATCAACCACCACAACTAGATTGCTGCGTCATTAACTATTATTTCAAGTTCCTAAAGTCTTGTACGTCGAACCTAATTTAGGACCGACTTAGTGAAATACAAGCCTCCACTGTGAAAACTACTCTACAGCACATTGGCGACGAGGGATTCGTTTCTCATACGGAGGAAAAAAAAATTTTCGTTCACTCTACAACAGTTCAAGACATCCGTATATATACAAACCAACATTCACTGGAGAATATCTCAGATTCAACTCCTAGCATCTATACAGTGTAAAGAAAAGGATCGTCTATTGCTTACAACACCGAGCAAAAGTCATATGTGTCGTCCCAGTGATATGTGAGCAAGAAATGTTCAGTATAAGCAGTACCCTACAATGTAACAAGTACCCTGGGTACATTACAACATCTCCGATAAACTGGGATAGAAGGGTGCAAGAGGATAATAACACCCAGAAAACAGTCTCAGTCTGCCAACCCTATGTGAAGGGATTATCGGAAAAATACAAAAGATCTGTGGTCAATTTAACATCAGGACAACCTTCAAAAGTAACCTTTGTAGACACAGCTTCCGAGTAAGATCCCTTATAGAGAAGAACATGATTAAGGACTGTGTGTACGTCATCCCATGCAGTTGTGGCAAGAAATATAATTGAGAAACTGTCCGTCCATTTAAGATGAGACTGCAAGAACACCGTAAACCGTAACACGAGGGGAAATAGAAAATTCAGGCGTAGCCGACCACATATGAAGGGAAAAAGGAAGATCAGCAGAGAACATCACTGGAAAATATGAAAACTTAAGGAATCAGCATATATGCTAGGCGACAAAAATTTCCTAAGTCGGCTAAACTTAGAAGAATAAAATATAGAACCAGTAATACGGACTGCTAGAGAAAAGCAAAAATAACAACAAAATTATAATATGAGTTCTGTTAAAAAATGTACTGAGACGTTATATTTATAAGTCCGCAAAATTCAAATGCTGATGTCCTCGAAGGCAGGTGACACTGTGGATAAAAGCATTGGTTGAATCCAATAATAATGAGTTCTGGCTATGGCTGAGATATTTAAAAAAAATAAATATATCTAGCCTTATCCTAAAAATAACAACACAAATGCGCCTTAAAGAACTGCATTCCTAATCAAACCAAATATATTGGTCGCATTACTACATACCTATTCAGACGATATACGTTACACATACCTACCATTGTTCCGTTAGATCTCATTTAAACACATACACAAAAATACCAGACTCCATCCGAAACATACTAGTAAAAAATACAAGCATAATAATCTCATCCACAAGTAAAAAAGTTTAAAAATAATGGAAGCATTAACGATAAAAAAAAAAAGCCTTAAGCCTTAATAATAAAAAAAAGATAAGCCAACACTCAATAACACACGGCCACAATGTGCTGTGCTGGGAAAGTATCCACGCCTCAAGGACACATGGCACAGTGGATAAAGGCGTTGGTTAGATCCAGTGACAGACCCAAAGAGTGTGAGTTCAATACTCGGTTAAGGCAGTGGAGAACTTTCAGAGGGAAAATTAGCAGGAGATAACTGATAACTGACATCCATCAAATATGGCGCGTGGAACTAGAAGAGTCTACCCCAGTGATCGAAATAAAGGGTTCAGTTCGAAATTCCAACCACCTGAAGAAGGCCGGAGCGTACAACGGCCGAAACGTTGTGACAAATATGGCGACAAAGATGTCCGACTAATAAAAATACTGAACTTTACATATATCCACAAAATCCATACATCCAGTTAAAAAGTAAAAATGAAAATCATCTTTGATAATGGCTAAAAATATAGGCGAAAGCGCTTGGAATTACAGAACATTTTGAAAGGTTCTTTTCTACTTACATTCTGTTCAGAAAAGAAAAGACGTGTTCGAGCACAATAAGAATTAAATAAAAAGCTTAATATATATATATATATATATATATATATATATATATATATAAAGAAACATGGTTACAACTGAGTAGCGGAAAAAACATATTTTAAATCAATTAATTTATAATATATATATATATATATATATATATATATATATATATATATATATATATATGTATGTATGTATAATGTATATATTAAAATAGTAAGAAAGAACAGCTTTACAATTCAGTGTTCTCAGTAATTATATTTATTCTTAAAAACAGCGCCCGATACAAAAACAATAGGGCATAATATTCCAAAAATCACCTGAGAATGGATCGGAGCTATCGATTTTAAATTTAATTTCATAATTAAATTTAAAATTTTAGATTCTGTTTTGAAACATATAATTCCTGTGTAGCGATGGAACCAATTTTTTAAATAGAAAATAATCATAACATATATATATATATATATATGCGTGTGTGTCTATCTATCTATCTATACATCTCTCTCTCTCTCTCTCTCTCTCTCTCTCTCTCTATATATATATATATATATATATATATATATATATATATATATATAAAAATGGCAGGATGTGTGTGTGTATGTGTGTGTGTGTAATGAACGTACGGCCGCAATTTTCGAAGGATTGGCACCAAATTTACATGCGCATGC